GACCTATGAACCACAAGATTGGAGGTTCAAACACAGTAGAGGCTCCTCAGAAACCCCATACAGGGTTGCTACGAGTCATAATCAATTTGACGGCACTTAACAGAAGCAACTTAGAAAAATATGACAATGTGTGACCATATCAGAGATCCCTATGACGTTCTAGTGTGGTGCCATAAAATAAGAACTCGACCTCAAGGTTGGTTTGAACTGCAAAGTTGGTGGTTCAAACTCAACAGCTGCTCCTCAGAAACTCTATACAGGGTTGCTGTGAGTCAGAACAGACTTGGCGGCACTTAACAACAACAACAATGGAGCATGAAAACAAAAACAACACACAGAAAAGAAAAGTAAAGAGAAAGAAGAAGCTTCTATCATTTTAATTACAATGGTATATGGGGCATCGTAATAGTTAATTCTATTATGGCTAACAATCAGTTTGTTATGACTCCATGGGAATACCCTCTTCGTCCTATTCCCTAAATACAACTTGTCATATTATTGTTACAGAGAAGTCTAGGCAACAGGAGGAAGTCACTGTCATGTTAAAACAACATGTCACGCAAGATCTAGAAATTCGGTTTAAACAGATGTTAAATAATATTTCAAGTATTGAAAGCCTGCTGAAGGTTTCAAAAGAAAGTCCCAAAATAAATGAAATGGAGGTATGATTACACCCAGGCTATATTTCTAATCACCTTATCCAAGAAGAAATCTTACACTGGGATCTAGAAATCATTCATCTAATGACTAAACTGCTCCCACCAGCCCACCAAAATTCCCAGGGACAGCTTCTCCTTGGCGTGCTACACATAAGTCTGTTGGTACCACAGACATCTGAGCGGAAATATGTAAGTACGCAACCTCTCCTGGGAGCCTGGGAGTTGAAGGAATCTATTTTAATGCCTTCTTTGCTTACAGTTTGCCTCCCTTTGTAAACTTGATCTATAAATGTAGGAAGAATTCAGAAAGACTCTGTTGCTCAAGAACTTGGTCACTATTTAGGAAAACTTCTAGCTGAGAGTCCAAAGAATATAAGGAGGTAAAGAAACCATCACTAACACTAAACTTGTTAAGCAGAAAGACGAGAGGGGATGCTGGGAGTTCAGAAAAGGCAATTCCTAGAGCAAGACTAGCTTTGTTAACAGATATAACTCCACAACAAGACACAACAACAAAATGGCAAGGTAAAGATTGACAGACTACTACAAATAAGGAAGAAAAGATTCATTTGACCAAAAAAACCAGGGCAAGAATGAAAATACAAATGCAAATTGGAATAGAATATCAGTAAGACTATTGTTGTTAAGTTCAAGACAAGTCAGTCATAGTGGTCCTCTACAGGTTGTTGATGAGTGGTTGGTGGATTTGAATCACTGATATTGTAGTTAGCAGTCCAGCGCTAATCGTACAGCACCACACCAGGATTACAATGGTAAGATTACAAAAGATTAATATCTATATCTCAGTTCTTACAAATCAATAAGGGAAAATCAAATACAAGAAAGGGGCAATGGATGAAAATATAGATAAATAATAAAAGAGACACAATGAACAGATGAGTATGGAAACATTGTAAATCCTGTATAATAGAAAGAAATGAAATGCTGACAGTGTGAGAATACCCAAAGTGCCTGAGAAGAAAAACGTGACCATCTACTTCTGCAAACTTTAACTCAAATAGCCAAACCAATTCACATCACTTAATCCTAGGAGTGGGACTGCTTATCCATGCTAACACTGCCTTCTATTATTTTTCTTATATTTGATAGCATACTCAGTAAATGATATGATCTCATTATCCTGATTCACATTTCTCTTAAAATTAATTTTATTCATTTTTTTCTGTGAGCTGATATTTACATCCTTTGTCCATTTTTCTGCTGATATATTCATCATTTTCATATTGATTTAAATTAGCTCTTTGTATATTAAGGAAATTACCTGTTAGTCAGTTATGGGTGAAAAAATACTTTTCCCACTTATTTTTCTGTTGATTTTGTTTATTATACAGAAATTTTTATTTTAGAAGTGATACAGTGTTTCTTTAGGGGGCTTTTGGATGCCATGCTATGTTCAGAAAAATCTTCCTGAGACTGTTTTAAGTGCCGTGGAGTCTCTTCTGACTCATAAAGACCCAGTATTGAACTTCCAAGGAACAGCTGGTGGGTTTGAACTACTGACCTTGCAGCTAACAGGCTAGTGGTGATCCTACAGAGCCACACCTGGAGTCCTTCCTGAAACTAGGTGTGTGCGATTTTCGTTTCTTCTTGTAAAGTGACTGCCCTGCTTCCTACTCCCTTAGGGATCTCCAGCTTTCCACAAGGATGATTTTGTTTGTAAAGATGCACTTAGAATAGTATCTGTTTTTCCTCACAGCACTATTGACACATCTATGCAACTAATGCTCCCATCTCCACTGATTCATTTGGTGGGGAAAGTTCATGCGTCAATGGTGAGTGGTCTGACTCACATAATTCCACCAACAAAAACAAGAAAGTAGAACTTTATCTTTGGGGTTAATAAGCTTGGAAAGATGGCACTTTTTCTTTCTCTTGCTTTTCAAGGGGACCTTGGTCTGGCATTCAGTGAATCATAAAAATGACAGACAATGTAGTAACAGAAAGAAGTGTAAAACACCAGGACTGGTGTTCTATTTCATTTACATTATTATATTAGTGGTCCAATGCTTATACTACAGCACCACACCAGGACTCTGCCTGCTCTTGTTGTTGTTGTTGTTGTTAAGTGCTGTCAAGTCAGTTCTGATCCACAGCGATCCTGTATAGGGTTTCCAAGCAGCAGCTGGTGAGCTTAAACCGCCAACCTTGCAGCTCAAAGCAACTTGCAGTCCAGTGCATTAATCCACAGTGCTACATCAGGTAAACACTAAATAACTTTGGTATCTGTGCATTTACTTATTCTGGATATTTCATATATGTGGTAGTAGGTGGTACAAGCCATTAAGTCTGTTCTGACTCATAGTGACCCTACATAGGGTTTCCAAGGAGTGGCTGGAGAGTTTGAATCACCATCTTTGAGTAGGTTAACCTAGTGCCATGCCAGGATCCTCATATAGGTGGCACAACACTGTATTTGTCCTGTTGTGTCTGCCTGATTTTATTTACCATAATATTTTCAAAGTTCATCCATGTGATAATATGTATTAGAATTTCATTTCTCTTTATGGCTAAATAATAACTATTCCATTGTACGTACATACTACATTTAATGCATCCATTCATCTGTTAATGGATACTTCGTTGTTTCAACCTTTGGTTATTATGAACAGTGTACCAATGAGTACAGGTGTACAACTGTGTCTTTGTGTCCCTGCTTTCAATATATGGTATAGACCTAGGAGCAGAACTGCTGGGTCATATGAGATCATTTTAGTTTTAATTTTTAAGGAACTAGCATGGTAGCTCCATATGATAGACACTGGACTGCAAACCACAATGTCCAGAGTTCGAGCCTGCCAGCTGCTCCACAGAAGAAAGATGAGGCTTTCTGCCCCTATGAAGATTTAAAGCCTTGGAAACTCTATACAGGGTTGTTATGAGTTGTAACTGACTTGATGACACTTAAAAACAACCATACTTAAATAATGTCCATTTATACATTTTTTTGGTTTTGGTTTTGTCCAACATTATATTTGCATTTAATCCATGTAGATGGGAGTCTGGTAGCGTAGTGGTTACGAATCGGGCTGCGAACCGCAGGGTCAGCAGTTTGAAACTACCAGCTGTTCCACGGGAGAAAGATGAGGCTTTCTGCTCCTGTAAAGATTTACAGCCTCAGAAACCCTGTACAGGGTCGCTATGAGTCGGAACCGACTCCACGGCACATAACAACAACAACAACAACATGTACTACCTAGAATATGTCATCTCATATAGATGTGTGCAAGGATTTCCTTAAGGTTTACTGGGGAATGACATTTCTGAACTTCAATGGACTTTTTACGGCATTGTGATTTTCTCAATTTCTCTTTTAACTTTTTACTTAACCTTCTACTTACCACTATGGAGAAAATAAAATTTCATTCAAAAGAGGTACACAACTACCTTTTTCTTCTTTGTTTTCCCCAGACATGCCACAGATAAAATCCTCTTCTCAATGTGTGAGCACCCTTTAGCTCAAGGATTGCCTTTTTGGGAAGAGTGGTAGCCCACCTCTAAATATGAGTGTAAAACCAAAATCATCTGATTGTTCATCAGTATCAGAGATAGACCTTAATCTTCCCCTTAATCTATCCATCACTTTTCATATTGCTGAAGACAACATACTAAAACACAGACACTCTTCAGAATCCTTGAGAGTCACTCAAAGGACAATTCCTTTCACTCTCTGACCTCCATCTGCTGCTTTTACCTCGCCTTCTATACAATCACCCACACACAACCCACACTAGTCTGCATGGGGATTTTTTGTTTTTCCTCTGACCCATTTCTACCTGCCCATCTTTTAGCATCGGGGACAGAACATTAAAAACAACAAAACAGCATATCTAGATGGTCTTCATTGCATAGTTTTTATAGTATACATTAACCTTCCTTTTAATTCTCAAAGTTATATGAGGCCAAGGAGTTCATCTCAGAAATCTTTATAGTCACTTTAATGCCAACCTCAATATAAAAGACAAGCTTAATTTTAGGGACAAAAGTGCAGAAAGGTTTTTCACATTAATCCTCTTCATGGGAGCAATGTTGCTTCTCTTTCCCAAAGGAAAATAATACGGAAGCATATTTTGCATTACTAAAAAATTCAGTAATAGATAAATGAAAAAGGACTTACTCTTAAAAAAGAAATTCTATATTCTATAGTCCAAACTCTCAAAGAATAAGGCTTGGGTTAACCCATCAGAAAGCATAAGTTAGTAAAAAGCAATGAAAAATCAATATAACAAAATAAAAATAAATAGACACTTAAATATAAAAATGATTCTTTTAAACACTAGCAAAAAGGTGCAAAACAAAACCCAAGCTAGGGTAATGACTGACCTGCGTGAGCAGAGAGAGGAGAGTGTGGTCGAGGCAACGCTGGTGACTGTCCATTGCCTATCAAGCTTTTCCGATTGCTCGTTCGGCAGCTGTCAAAAGGAAAGGAAAAACAGTCTTAAAAAAGAAGACAGAACCAATAATATTCAAGGATGTTCAAAGTCGGCATTTGTTGTTGTTGGGTGCCATCGAGTCGGTTCCGACTCATAGCAGCTCTATGCTGAATACCCTATCACTTCATGTTATTGCTAAAATTACTGCAAGTTAATGTGCATTCACCATCATGGAGGGGTGCCTGCATCTTGAATATTAGGAAATACGATGTATTCATATAGCATAGCATCATTAATAGTCCTCACTACCAGTGAAGCTATAATCAAATGTCTTCTTTCAGCTTTTGACTACAAAATTGTGATGTACCAAACACACAATAATAAATTAAGGGTGCAAATCAGCAAACCACAGGTAGCGTGTTTGTTGACATGAAATTTCTAATACAAAATTACATGCAACGAAGCGCAATGACATTAATCTTACAACGATGCACTAATTAAAAATCTAATTATTTAGACAAATTTCATATTTGTGCCTTATGTCAATAGAACAGCTGATGCCCAAGATAAATGTATTTCACTGCTCATTCATTTTTCATCTTGTATATTGCATTCAAATTCCTTTTTCAGGCAAATGTTCTAAAATCATAAAAACAGATTCTAATTTGTATTAAAATAATAGTGATGACCTCTTTTCACAGGCACGCTGCCTCCTGGGATTATCCTGGATTGTTTTTGTTATTGTTGTTAGCTTCAAATGAGTCAGCTCCAACGCATAGCAACCTTATGTATTCAAAACCCAAACCAAACTCACTGCCACGGCATCAGTGCTAACTCACAGAGACCCTGTTAACCTTTTCCAAGGCTGTGAATCTTTACGGAAGCAGAAAACAGCATCCTTCTCCTTCGGAGCAATTGGAAGGTTTGAACTGCCCACCTTGACGCCAGCAGTCTAGTGCTTATTCCACAGGGTCACCAGTCTTCCTTGACCTTAATGTATTATTGTTGTTAAGTGCCGTCTTGTTGGGTCCGATTCATAGTGACCCTGTGTAGGTTTCCAAGGAGCGCCTGGTGAGTCTGAACTGCCGAGCTTGCAGATCAAATGACCCTTGCGGTTCAGTGCTTATCCTACATTGCCACACCAGGACTCCTCCACTTAGTTTGCTCTTGTTGATAAGTGCTATCGAGTCGGTTCCGGGTCACAGAAGCCCTGTATAGGATTTCTGAAGAGTTGCTGCTGAATTTGAGCTGCCAACCTTGTGGTTCACAGTCCAGTGCTGATCCCATGGTGCCACACCAGTATATGCATAAGTAAGAAAGGATTGCTATAAAATCACAGAACCTTTATTAAACAGAAGCGTCAAAATGTGAAGCTACTGTCTACATATCATTCATCTAGGTCTAATACATTGCTGGATCTGGTGTTGGCATCTCATAACACTGACCCAGGAATCCTGGTGTAGTGCTGTGGGTTAATGTGTAGGACTGCAAATTCGGTTTGAACCACAAGGTCGGCAGTTCAAGCTCACCTGCTGCTCCTCAGAAACCCTATACTGTGGGTTGGAATCAACTTGATGGCACATAGCAACAACAACAACAACCTTTCCCCCAAAGAATTCTGCACTCTTTAAATCACACCAGATCAAGACAGCAGTTTGGCATCCATGACGGACTCAAATGGTGTTCCTTTTAAATGTATTCTGAGTTTGGAGAACGAAAAGAAGTCTGAAAAGGAAAGATGAGAACTGTAGAGTGGATGGAGTAAGGTTTCACAATAAAATTTTCAAGGGACTGCCCTTGCTACCCTCTAAGAATGAGCAGGTACATTGTTATGATGGGAGAAAAATTTCATGAGTACAAATTTTCTCAGCTTTTTGCTCACCAATGCAGTTTTCAATGTCCTTAAAATGTCCTCCTACTAAGCCCTCATGATCGTCCTGTGTCCTTTAATAAAATATATCAAGATTACCCCCTTTGGAATCTCCAAAAACTGCAGCCATAGCCTTCTGAGCTGATCTCACAGCCTTCAACTGAACTAGCCCAGTAGATATTCTCAGAAGCTATTAATTTGATTGGACCTTACTCTCAGGATCATAGTGTAAATCTAAGACTTGTCTCCGCCTATGATTCATTCCATAAAATCATCTTCATTAGCTTCTATCTTGCTTAAAATACTGATAAAAATATCTGCTCTGTTTGCTAGCTGATCTTCATGGGATCTTTTGGTATCTACTGAGCGGAAAGCTTGCAGAGACCGTATGAGATTCCAATCTCAGTAACAATAGCATTAGTAACTGTATCGTCTTCCACCAGCTTCCGGACTTCAGCCACAATTTCTTCAGCCGCCAAGGTTGAGGTCTTCCCAGTTTTCATTGAAATGTGTTTATTATATGGAATAGTATTTCCATAAATGTGTTTCAAAGCTTGTTATTTGAGAAACTGCTCAATCAGATTTTGTTAAAAATCTGATATTATTTTTTACTTCAAAATTTTCTATGGCACAAAAATTAATTTTCATTTTTAATGTATCTTCACAAAACTAAAACAAGTGTTTTACTGAAGGAACTTGACTGCCATCATCCACTGGTCACAGAGACATGTTGGAACATATTTTGTTTGGAATACACCGGGGCATGTATGAATTGGAACCCTCATAGCAATAATTTTATGACGTATCTTCATATGACAGAATGAAATGTTGCCTGGTCCTGAGTCATTTAATAAATAATTCCTACATTATAAACACAGAACAAGTATCTCTTCCTAATTATGCTAAACAGAAAGTTCTAAAATTCTTCATTTGATTTCAAAGTAATTTCCGCCAGTCTCAAAGAGTAAGACAAATGATAACCGCCCCCCCCCCAGTTGAAAGTGAAGAGCTGACCTCATTTTCATTTGCTTTTTAAAATACAACTATTCTGTATAGAATAGCGAGATAAAATAGCAAATTACCTCACTAAATTTACCTACAAGGTTCTAGAAAAGGTGACTCCATTTTCCTCCAGATGCATATTCCCTCAGCCTTCATTCATCATTCTAACTGTCAAGTCAGAATATACCTCTGTTAAACAGGAGGGGATCAAATAGAAAAACAGAATGAAAAGATAATGGAACTTTCCCAAGTCCCATTTTACTAGGTCCCTGACACAGGAATTTTACTTGACATTACAATTCTATATTAGATATAATGAGTGGTCACATGTGAGGAGATGTCAAATAGTTTTAGGACAAAATCCCGTCATCTTTCAATTCCACTTTTCCACAAACTTTATGAAGCCACCTCATATTTTGGAATTGGGTACAATATTAATAGGAACATTTCTAAACTGTCAAATACTACATTTCAAATCCACACAATCTGGTTTCTCATCACAGTATTGACTTGGGAGACAGTCCTTTCTCTTAGATGTTTGCTGGTTATTATCATTTGTCAGCATCTTATATTTATTATTTTTTAAGGTCAGCCTGCATCATTTTATTTTACTTACTGGAGCAATCAACATCTAGCATGATCTGTGAGTTTTAATTAAGATCGTGTTTACTCAGCCTTGAAGAAGTTGTTGAGTAAGAATAGACCCTTGATGCCTAATTATGAAGATACCATGTGGGATTATCAACTCATCTATTAAGAACTGTATTCAACCTATTGAATTCATAATCATTAAATCAGATACTCTGATTTTTTTCAAAGAGATCCTGTATAATATATTTGGATTTAATTCAAATCAATGTCTTTTTCATTTCAATACAAGAATAGCAAGTGTATCAACTTGCTGATGTTAATAAAGAAAATTATAAATGACAGATTTATATCCTAGCGATGTCAGCATATTTAATTGTTAATTTTGTAAATTAACTGAAATATAGGCTAATTATAACAATAATGCTAATCTGTATTAATTTTAACATTACCTCGCATGTGATCTAAATTGTTTATAAAGATTTTCTTGTGACACATCTAATTATTAATGCTTCTATATGTAAATAAAGGAGCTCTGCTCAGCAGTTTGAAACTACCAGCTGTTCTGCACAAGAAAGATGAGGCTTTCTGCTCCTGTAAAGATTTACAGCCTCAGAAACCCTGTACAGGGTCGCTGTGAGGCAGAACTGACTCCACGGCACACAACTATCATCACCATATGTAAAGAAAATAAATAAGAAATGTGTACCAATAGATATAGCATCTAATAAAATAGGGATATCAGTGAACTATGCAAATTTACTTAAAACAATAATCTAGAGATTGGCATTTCTAAAAGAAAATTGTTAAAAATTTGAATTTTCCTCAGAAACTAGAATGCTACCATAGCAAGCAAAATAAACAAGCCAACAATTCAGATTCCAAAGAAATAAACAAAAAGTACTGGTTATTTGAAGTCTCTGGGGATGGGGGTGGGGGGAAACATAGAAAGTGTGCTTTAAAAAAATCTGACACAAAAGCTTTGAGAAGATAGAATCAATAATAAAAATAATGAAAATAAATAACTAAATGTAATAAAACCTGAACAGAAAATATACTTGTTTGGTCAATGTGAAAAAGAAAAGCTTACATTATAGTCATCCTATGTTTGCCTACTTCTCTATAAGGATTTTTAATCTTTACAAATAGATGATTCATTATAAATAGGATTTGTGTAGTGCTATGGGTTAATGCACTGGACTGTAAAGTCGTTTGAACAACAAGGTCAGCGGTTCAAGTTCACCAGCTGCTCCTCAGAAACCCTATAGAGGGTCACTATGGGTTCTAACTGACTCAATAGCACTTAACAACAACAACAATAACAACAAGGAGCCCTGACAGCACTGCAGGATAAGCACTGAACTACTAACTGCAAGGTCGGCAGTTCAAACCCACCAGCTGCTCTGTAGGAGAAAGATGAGGTTTTCTGCTCTAGTAAAGATTTACCTACAGGCTTGGAAACCCTATATACAGATCAGAGTTGACTCAATGGCAGTGAGTTTAAGTTTTGAAAGAGAGTGAGACAAAAGATGCAAACAAATTATGTAGACATGAGCAAGATGACAAGCTAAAAACAGAT